ACTGAATATATCAAAACATGTCTTGAGCTGTTTCATCATGAAATTAGCTCATCCTTTAAGTTCCTTTCACAGTTTAATAACAATACCTACAGTATGTGGACATTAGATTAGTGTTCTCGCTGCTTTGTAAACCATCCTTTCATTCTACTTGAGTGTTGAGAACAATTAATATTAGAGTATAGATGGATGTAGTAATGATGTACCTGAACCAAGACCTAGCCAAGTAATTTGTGTCAGAAAAATTGGTTCTTGCCAAAGTTGATGAACTGGCTTAATATTTCCTGCAAAACTTGTTATGGTTTATTATATCTGCAATAGTAAACAATATTTCTTAAGCTGTATATACAGTATAAAAACAGGAAGTCAGTTAAGTGGGTGCAAATAGTGTTTTCATGCGAACAAGGCTGGTATCACATAGCTTACATAAATACAGTTCAGTATGTACCTCTGGGGCACTGCCACCATGCACATACTACATTAACCCCTAAACTGTACAGGTATTTAAAAGTAAAACATTGAGGTGCACATGACTAAAGACAGTTTCAAATAAAATAGTAAAAAATATAACTTATGACAATTGGAGCTGTGTAAAGGTTAAGCAAACCCACTTTAGCTAGTTTATTAATAATAAATAAACAAATAAAAATCCAGTTTATAATGTGGAAACAATAAACATTCCCAAAGCAAGGTGACGAGAGGTGGTAGTGGTGGCGGCTTGTTGGCCGACACCTTCCACCTGGGTCTGCCCATCTCCACAAATACTGTACAGTATTTGTGGAGATGACTTCCTTACAATAAAAACATACACAATTCTAATTGATGGGCATCACCTAAAGCAGGTTTTTTTTTTTCCAACTACCTCCTCCCTTTGTGTGTGTGTTTTGGGATTAATTTCTGGCACAGGATTGTATTCAAGCCATCCAGCCTTGTTCTATTCAAGGGAATTTTTAAGAGAAATAGGGAAAATAATGTTAAAAGGTTCAATATATAACATTTCATAGCTCTAGTAATCACACTCATGCAAATTATCCACGACAGTTACCTACCATGTCATACAGCTAGGTTTAAAGTACTTCTAGCAAGTTTTATTTTTAAACATCAAACATTCAATCTTTATTTTTTGTTTTCAATGCTGTACTAGTGTCCATCTGACCTCACCACTTCTTATATACTGTTGACACACAATCCCTGTATCCTCCCTCCCACCCCTCTCTTTTCTCCCTTTTTTTTCTCCCGCTCTCTCTCACACACAATGACTTTCTATCTTTGTCCCTCTTCTACCATAAAATTTCCTGGAACACAGTACTCTCACTATCCTTCAATCATTCATTTGCACAGCTTGGGTCCCAAGGCAGGGAGATGGCCAACCATATATTGTTTCCAGTTGGTGAAACTGAATTCTCAATGAAGTAAGATAAAACTTGCAGAGTTGTTTCCTTCCTGCCCTCATCTTCCTCTCAATAGTTTTCCCACATCATTTACTTCCTACCTACTTCCTCTCATCTCTGAATTTAATTATTATTATGTATGAGAGGAAGCATGAATGAGAACAATTCACAGGATAGGTTTAAGTAGAAATGGCTTGTAAGGAGGGAGTAAATTTGTTTGTACTATACTGTATATGACTATCCACGAGCAGCACCGACCTACCTACCTTTGGTCTTTATAGCCCATGGGTTCTTGGGCTTCTTGGCCAGCAAACCCATGGAATGTATTCTATATGCCTGCAACACTGTATAAGTGTAGTGCCTGGCAGTACTGGTACTACCAGTACCTGGTAGTATTTTACCTGGCAGTAAAGGGCATGTTATTCACTACCTTGCTCACTTAGACCATCTTCTGCCACAGCTCACACCACAAATTTGACATATTTAGTTTTTATTTCTGTATTATTAATTACTGTTTTGAGCTCAAAGTTGCCCTTACAGTATTTATTTTAGCGAATTCTCACTCCTCCCGCCTTATTCTATCTTTTACTGTCATTTAATTAAGGGGATTATAATCTCACTTTTTACTCATATTTTATTACAGTGTACAGTAATGTAATACAGCAGCAAAACTTACATTTGCTCAACCCAACAACTCTGGTTTGTACTATACGGGTCATTACAGTCTATACTTCATCCACTAGGAGCACTACTTTGGTCAGTATTACTATGCTCAAACTAGTTCATAATGAAAGCTTAAACATCCTTTGTAGACTACCAAAACTCATTTGCAAAGAAAACTAACCCATTTCTTATTAACATGGTCCAGAAAACTGCTGCACAGACATAAATGAAATGTGATATTTGTGCTGTTCCATCAACCTGGGCTCTAGGAGACTCAAACCGTAGATCCCATGTGTGAGAGGCCGGAGCTCTATCAATCGAGGTATTGAGTAGTCTCCTAGAGTCCCGGTGAATAGAGTGTGGATTTCCATAGAAGTGTGGATGACAATGTTGTGCTGTTGTTATAAAGGTTGATGGTGAGTATTTTTGCTGCACTGTCTTCAAAGATGACCAAAGATAGATGGATTATCTATATTTAATCAGTCTTTTTCCTAATTACCTGTGTATAGTATTTCAATTGTCTTCTACTTCCTTACTTATTTTTCCACTGTTGTTTTATGGTACCCATTCTTATGTGATAATTACATGTCATGAGTCGATATCCTTTTTACAAAATGCAATTGCAAAATGTAAAAATAGTCAATAACTGAATTGTTTGGTGAACATCTGCCACTTACTTCTTGACATGAAAAGTGTGTAACATGAAATTTGGAATATTTTTAATCACATTAAAAAAAACTAGCATTGAATGTAATGAAACACCATTTTCTGGGCGAGACCCGGAGGCTCCCTGGAGCTATCCGGGCTGAAACCGGACTTTTCGTGGTTTTTGACATTCGGCCTCAACTGGGGAAGGATAGTTGGCACGGGGGTCTTGGGCTTCCCCTTTTCCCTCCCAGGGAGGGGGCAGCGGCGCGTTGACGGTTGTGACATCATGCTAGTTTGCTCGTTTTTAGTTAAGGGAATTCTGTTCAACAGTTCGGCTTTCGGTAGTAATTTATTAACCAGGTAGGGTTTGTTTTGGGAAGCTTACCTTTCTTGGGTGCCAGACCGATTTGAAGACAAATACAGAATGCTTCCAACCACATGGTGGTTTCTATTGACCACTGCTCCTTGTGCCTCTGAGGGGGCCAGGTTCTGGCTCATGGTCCTCAATAGGCAAGAACTTCATTTACTTTGACCACAGTCTAATACATTCATATCAGCCCGGATAGCTCCGTGGAGCCAAAGGGGCTCCCCCTAGAAAATAGCTCAACTCTACCTTAAGCATGAGTGAGGAAATAATGCAAATGGTGTAAATACAAAAATATAGAAACTACATCTTTACCACAATATAGCATTATGGCACTAAATAAAAGCTCAGATATAAGGAATGTATTATTCATCATTATTATAGTCCAAACAATGAATGGTTGTCATAATAAGAAACTAAGCTGTATTACGATGACAAAATTTGATGGCCTGTAAATACGTGAAATGATGAACGAGTCCAAATAGTATTGTCTTCCTAATAAGTAGAAGTGACAATTGGTATTAATAACCCTCAGAGAATGGCTATCAAATCTGTCACCTCACCTTTGTGCAAAAAAAAAAAAAAAAAAAAAAAAAAAAAAAATTATATATATATATATATATATATATATATATATATATATATATATATATATATATATATATATAATAATATACACAGTACTGTATATATAAAGGCATTAAAAATCAAAATCTATTTGGATTCATGCTCAGTACGAGGAAGCCAAGTGGTGGTGGCATCAGGTGCGAGATGTGTGTTTTCTGATGTACGGTGAACATAACAACAACTCAAGTGGTAACCTTGCAGGGTTTTTATGGTAAGTGCTTTGCTTTAGTTTTCACTTTGTTAAATGACACAATTTTTATACAAATAATTGACAAAAACATGACTACTGTACAAGACCTACAATAACACGTGCACATATAATGGACATAAACCTGTTCCTGGCACAGCTCTAAGAAAGTGTTTTTCAACCCCATGCCTGCTGCTGCTGCTGTTCTGAGAATGTTGTCCAGAAATAGACTAAAACGCTGCTTGGAGAAAACAAATTGCGATTTGATGATAACCACAAGCCACTTGTACACAATAACTTCATCGCATAGAAAGCAGTCCTTGTTGGTACAATGGTAACACACGCCCCCCCCCCCACACTTCATGAGCGATTTGCTCTAGTTTCGTAATCTGGCCAGGGAGGATTGACTAAGTGCTAATCCTTAGCTATTAGCCTCAGTAGTAATTGAGTACCAGGTTGTTAACCAATTGGTGGGTCATGGTCCAGAGAAAACTAGTGGGTAAGGCTTACCATGAGCTATGGGAAGGAAAAGTTCTCAGCTTGCTGACAGGAGTCAAAGTTGTCTGTTCCTGTATCCACGTGTAAAAAAAAAAATTGTTCATGACTGGTATTGCAATTTCATTCATATAATGTACTATATCCATATTTACATTATTTGCACAAAAATCACATTTAACAATAACTGTAGGCCACTTGTAAATGATAACCACAACACAAAATAGCAATTATAAAGCAATAGCAGAAACTGTTCATGGCTCTTGTTTAACTCTATTACATCCATTCAGATGTATTATAACTACATTTAGATCATTTGTATAAAACCGGGCAATAATAACGAAAATCGGCAAATGGTGATACCCGCATTGGTCTAGGAGGTAACCATATGACAATGACCGCTCTTTGATGGTTAATAAGGTTGATGTTTTCATCAGTTAGGCAACAGCTTGTTTCCTGCCTTACTGGTATTGTATAGCAGTATTACATGAAATACAACTTGTCCCTTATAATGAATATTTAAGTCAGCTTAAAAAAATATTTTAAATATCTATGAAATATAGACAAACTTCCTATCTCAACATTTAACTAAACTGATCTTAAATGTGGGAGACAAAAAAGAAGGGAAAGTAATATTTTAATTATTAAAGTTGTGCTAGAACCCAGACTTACACAAGTAGCAAAATTGATAGAAACAGGAACTCTCAGGTCTCGACGTGTGTGCATGGGAGCGCACATGGATGTATACATCACGCTATGCATGTGTGCGCATACACGTGTGTACATGGCTGTGCACATGAATATATATGCATGTGTGTGTATATATATATTTGTTATACTTTAATGCAAGTGTATCTTTCCTCTATTTTGATCATTACAATTATTTGTGCATACATCAGCATTATTTATAAATCAAATTGATAAATTATTTTCTGGCATAATATTTAAATATACTGTACTATACTTTCTTTGAACCTGTACTTCAGTGAGGCTCAATTGTGTTTTGCAAGGGAGTCATAAACCAAGCTAATGTTTAGCTCGAGTGACTAATAAATCTTTACCACTATGTTGCCTAAATGTTTCCACAGTTTTTATGTATTTCTGTACATTTTGTTGCATAGATAACAGTAAGTTTTCATATTGACTTTACAAGTAAACAAACTTTATCATAAAACAATGGAAGGAGGGCAGATTTACCCAATAAATTGCATATGTGGTGGATTAATATTATTGAATTGTACAAAGAACTTAAAAGTAAATGTATTAAAAATGTTACACATGACCCATTAGAATGGCACTAAATCCATTACTGTTCCACTTGATTATTTAGCAAAAGAAATTACATGCAAATGCATTTCCAGGATTGGGATTAGCAACCTCTTTAATCATTCTTTTGGTTAAGTCTCTTAAGCAGAGGCTTTTTGTAGATCCAGTTATCCCCGACCAAATCAAACAGGTTTGTTTGCCACTCAATACCATTGTCTTTGCGATACTTGGCTTCATCACGTTGCTTTTGTTCCAGGGAACATTTAGCAGCTGTTGCTTGGTCAATTTGGTTGAACCTGTAAATGCATAAGAACATTTATTCTAATGTTCTTCAACAATTATAATTTTCAATTTTTTTTGTAACAAACACATTCTCAAAAAAAAATTTCCTTTTCCTTTATCTATACCATTACCAACCATATACAGTACACTAGGTAAAAATATCAGGTCAAGCCTACGGCTCTCGTCAATCCCACATGCTATCCTATACAAGTTCTGCTGCACAGTCTGCTGTAATTGCCTTAGAAACACACTTCTAACAGCAGACTTATATCAAGAAACATTAAATTCAACAACAATACAAAGGAAAATACATTATACTGTGTGCTGTGTGTTGGACTTGGCAAAGTTTTACCAACAAAACTTTTATCTTTATATAATATCTCCACCCAATATGGAGATTCAACTTATCACAGTACTGCTCTTGAGAGTTTATTCACCCAACTTCATCCCATTTGTGTTATCTCCAGCTGCTTTTTGCATGATCACATCATCGTTGGCATCATTCTCTACTCTTGAAAACATTTGGCATGTGTAATTGAAATATTTCTTAATATTAAAACTGACATTAAATGTTTATCACATAAGTGATAAAATTTACCTTAGTCCTGCTGTGACATCTTTCCACATGAATCTTGACTCGTTTGCTGCCTGCTGGGCTATAGATTTAACATTCTTTTTCACAGTACCCATACTTTGAGTATCCACAAATATATTGCTTTCCTGTTGAAAGACAAATTTACACAAGTGACAAATGTAAGGCTACACTACAATCAATTACTTGAAAAAAGTAATTAATAAAATACCTTTAATCAGAGGCTTCTGATAAACCATTGGTTATTATCCGAACACATTATTTCTTTATAATTATATACAATGGTATAAACATTGCATGAAACACTGTTAAGATGTATCAGGTGCAGAGTTAGGTGTGCAAGAATCCCTCGACTTATCAGTATGACAATACTAACAATGTTTACAACAGCCTAATGTAATACTTTATCCCCACAGTTTATGTGAAAGATAAATCATTTGTAACATAATATATGTTCTTATATACCAACGCGTATAAATCTATCACGTCACTGGAAAAAACAAACTGTGGAACCTCATATAACGAATGTCCCTCATTACGAATTTTTCGGGTTACAAGCTGTTTTTTTGTAAAATTTGAATCAGTTCACGAGCTTTGCCTCGCCTTACGAGTTTGTTGATTCACATATGGGTTGACCGAGCGCATGGTTCCTGGTGGCATGGGCGACCGCGCTTCAGTTTACCAGTGCCTCCTGCCTAATGGCGATTGTGCTTGAATTCTTTGTAAAGAATTTCATTATTTTTTCAGCTTTTTTGGTTTCTGAACATGAAAGTAATTATTAAATATCATGCCATGGGTTCCAAGAAAGTCAGTGGTAAGATTCAACCTAAGAAAATGGTTGTGAGTAAAGGATGTTTTCCTCATTAAAAAAAATGAGTAAAGTATAGGACGAACTGCAAAGTTTTGTTTAAAAGACTCGCCCAGATAAAGCTGTAGCAGGCCTTTGCATTGACCTTTTTAATAACAATGTGATGTCTCACTACAGACAAGTGTTAAAATGTAGGGAAAAACAAGTGTCTTTAGAGAGATTCTTAGTAAGACAAGCAAGCAGTGAGCTACAACCAGGTTCTAGTGGTATGCCTGCAAAACATAGGAGAGAGAGTACCCCAGAGAAGTCATCACTGCCTGATGTTATAATGGAAGGGAACTCTTTCTCTCCTCACCGTCTTCCATACGCCAACAAGAGTCATCAGTAAAGGTAACCTATAACTTGTTCATACTATAGTACAAAATATTCGTGTGTATTATGTATGAAATGTATTTTGAAGTTAATATTTTTGGGAGTGTGGAACAGATTAATTCAATTTACACTATTTCTTATGGGAAAATTAGTTTTGGTTTGCGAATTTTTGGTTTACGAGCCGTCTCTGGGAAAGGATTAAATTTGAAAAGCAAGGTACCACTGTATTTGGAGGCAATGTGCTTGACATTCTGGGGCAACTGACAAGCTGGGTATCGAGACAGTGGATAACAACAAAGTGTTCAAAAGTAACTGGACCAGAACAGTTGGACAAAAATTAACACTTTAATCAAATCAGAAAAAAATCTAAACTTTCTTCAGTGTAAAGGCAATGCATTAGTGGAACCCAGCAGTAGATAAAGAAGTGGATGCTGCATCTTTACTTTGACTCTGAGTGTATACATAACAAAACCCACATAGTTAGGGAGCCATCACACCAAATACTCATTAAGAAGCAGATGGCTATAACACATTCCCAATAAAATATGATTAAGAGTACAATAAAGTGAGCACAGGCACATTCCCAGCAACAGATGCTTCTATAACAACACACACACACACACACATATACATCTTCCAGTACATTCAAAAAACCAAAGTAATCTTTACAATGACAACTTTTCTGGATACAACAAATTTTCCTTTCTTTGACACTAGAGAATTTGAAGGTACATTAGCTATCTTAGCAAGATATGGATACAATAAAAGATGAAAAGCAATACTTACACCATCCCTTAACTTTGATGACATTACTCCATTCCACTCCCCTTCTACAGTAAGAACTGGCTTCTTCTCACCTGGGCTCAAGACTTCTGCATATATTTTGTGTTTTTTTCCACCATAGAATGGCTGAAAATGAGTTATTCCTTTAAAAATATATATATAATTGAAACATAAAAATCAATATACACTATCTCACATGGTTAATATAAATAGGAATAAGTACTAAAGTGAAATAACAAAAGCAAAGTACTGTAAGTGTAATATGAAAACAATTTTTACTTCCTTCCCTGTGACCTAGGTTATGGAGTCGGGTAAGTGTGTGACATATACCACCCGGCAGCCAGAATTCAAAACATCCCTTCAGTCATGATGTGTTAACGATGTCATTGCACAATAGTCGATCCAGCCCAGAAATCTCTGTCAAAAGGTATTTCAAACAAAAATTTAGGCTCTTCCTAGCTTCAACTTATGATCACGGGTGACTGTCAAACAAGGAATCCTACCGACTTCTGGCTGGGCTGCTTTGTTCAAACAACGTCTTGCCACCAGGTGGCAACACCACACCTCTGAGGTTTGCAGCTCACATACTCCATAATAGTTGTTTCAATTTGTCACTGGTATGCTATGACCTAGTTGACTTTTTTTAAATCATCAAACTTAGTTTCTTATAAATATCTAAGTGTAGTTACACCTCTTAGCTTGAAAAGCAGCAGAGGCTAGAGCCTAAATGGTACTAAGTGCATGAATGAGGTGGATGGCAGAGCAAGCCCCTGGGTAGTCTGGGATGCCATCTAGTAGTGAATAAACAACTTGTAACTGAGGTGTTCACTCATTATCAATTATTGTTGACATAGTTTTTATAATTTATTTTTTCAAGAAGTGATTAATTTTCTTCAGTTTTTTGGTAAACTTCTGGTCCCAATTTTTTTTTCTATTTCTTGAGTGAAGAAGAGTCTGACTCAGGGGCTAGATTCACGAAGCGGTTACACAAGTACTTACAAAAGTGTACATCTTGCCTCAATTTTTCATGTCTTTGGTTACATTTATTAACCAGTTTACAAGTACTGTATGAAAACTTCCCAATCAACTGTTGTTATTGTTACTGTATAAACAGCCTCCTGGTGTTTCAGAGCTCATCAACTGTTTAATAATTGTAAACAAAGCCGCCAAAAATTGAGAAACGATGTACAGGTTAGTAAGTGCTTGCGTAACTGCTTCGTGAATCTGGCCCTGGTTTCTGGTTGGCCTTCATAAGTGTCAAGAGGCCTGGTGTAACACTGAGCCATTCGGCTGCAAGTGCTGATGTTCCTGAAAGCTATCAAAGGGCAAATCCAGACTTATCCCCAACAGGAAGGAAAGTACCAACCAGCATGGACAAAGCTAAGGATGGATTAAACAAAGAGAAAACATGAAACAATGAACTTCCCCAATACAATGAATTATAATTCTAAGTTCAATCTAAATGTGATTTAATATTCTGGAGGCACAGTGTATTTGTAGTATCACTTAAAATTACAGAAAATTAACAATAAAACATAATTTTTCCAGAAGACCAGAAATAACATTTTATAGATTATTTCTTGCTTTAGAATCAGTTTTAATACCCAATAAAGTAATGTTGATAATGTATACAGAAAAACTCTAAACACCGACGACAAGATGCTTATACTGTGTTCATGAACCTCGTGACACAACCAACTGCTTAATATGCTAAACAAGCCAATAATTCAGTCACTTTCAACCTAAATACAATTTAATTACCAAATACAGTACCAGCCTCAAGAAACAGAATATGAAAGGAAGTAAAACAATGAATTTAGCCTAGTGTGTTTTACCTGAATTTACCCAAAGCCCACTAACACTAGTGGCTTTGATGAGGACAGGAAGCTGGCACTTGTCAAAGGCCCATCCATTTGCCTTCATTTTTTTTCCAGTCGGATTTTAATATTTTTTTATATTAATAAAGTTAGAAAATAATAAAGTGTGATCTTTTACTTTCTAACATTCTTTAAAACAAGCCTAAAAATACACACAAACCATCCAGCCTACCTTGGTTAGGAATTCTATATTAGCATTATAACCGGTCTTGTTACAAGTAATCTGGCATGTCCCGCCAAGTTCAACCCACGGCACTGTCAAAATGGACCTGAGAGAAAAGAAGCATATTATCATCAATATTAAAATCATTCTTATCTTCTAGATTTTGCATTTCAAGAACTAACCTGTTAACTAATAAGAGTATACTATACAAATATTTAAATAAAGTAATGCATAAGAAATCTCATCAACTGTCTTCACCTTTTTGGTGATCATCTCTACAGAGAATCCAGAAATGTCAAATTTCTGGATTTGACATTTGTATTTGTTGTGTATTTGCATACACAACAAATACATTCACTCCCAACTTAAAAATAGATGCTACCATGTCTTATCTTTACCCTATCCAGTATATTCTTCACACTTACTTCCCAATTAGTCTCTTCCTCTTATCCTCCTATTCACTCATTATGCTATCTTCACCATTCTATCATCCTCCATTCTTTCAGCTTAATATTCTCCTCAGTTTTGTAATTTAAAGAGTTTGTGTTTCTTAATAGAATTTCCATTCCTTATTCTTTTCCTCTAATGCCACACATGCTTTTCAGATTGTTCATTTCTACTTTCAATTTCTGAATTTGTCCATGTTCATATCCCACCATTATGTAGGTAGGCACACTCCTTGACCCTACTCACCAGCCCTCGGGCAAGTAGGGTCAAGACCCAAGAAACGTTTCACCTGTCTACATCATCGACTCTTTACGTATACCTAACCCAACCTAACCAAAATAAAGATAAAACTTTGTTGTTTACATATGGTGTGCACAAGGTGTGTAACATCCCTATGATGTCATAATTTTAATTCTGGCCAAGGTTTTGGAACCTACTACTGCTGGCTACATCTACAGTGCTACCCCAATTCACCGAATCCTTATTTAATAAATTCTCAGGTATCTGAAAATGAACACATTTTCCAAATGCAGTCCAGTAAATTGATAAATGCATGGCTGCTTCCTGGTCAAGCATTTGTTTGAAAATAATAACTAAAATAATCTTACTCAGCCCAGCCAATTAAAGCAATCCAAGCTATAGCACCACGAATCAAGTGAAATATGAAGAATACAATTTCCATTAATACAATTAACCACAAGTGATAGAAAAAGTTATATGTATGCCAGAGAGAACAAATTACATCACACCATTCTCAAGTTGGCTTCTGTAAGTCTCGCCTCCATGGCTCGTCTCCTTATTTATCTTCTACTTCATGTTTTTATACTCATAATAAATCCTTTTACACTATTGTACTCTATATAAATTAAGAAAAATCATAAATACTGTGCTGTACATGTTTTGTAATGTCAGGAACTATAGATAACTAGAAATTTGCATCATATATCAAGCGAAAGAGAACGTCACTGAAAAAGGGCAGCAGGCTAGTTCCCTCTTCAACACCTCCAACAAATGAGTGTTGCCAATATAGCTTCTGATCAACTTAACACTATCACATCCTAAATGACATGAACGAGAATGCTTATTAACATGAGATTGTGATATAAACATACACACATTTTATATTTATAAATGCTCTTTGGCCACATGTGCATGAGGGGTAAGCACATAGTGGTGGTGTTTGGCTGAGGTGAAGAAAACAGGAAGATAGTACTGGGATGCCCAGCTGATAGCTGCTAACTGATGGGGCCAAATAAACTTATTTAAGCTATCCCTCATTAAATATACCTGTAGTGAAAACAAAATAGTAAACAAACTCCATACACACCTGCCATATCCACTAGGGAAGTTTAGAATGTACTCTTCATCATGATCCATCAGAGATACACATCCCTGACCAATGTTGTTCACGCAAATGGAAAGACCTAGAAATTTTGACTTGGTCCAGATGTGACCACAGAAGGATATCTTCTTGGCCTTGTGCTCAGCATAGAAAGCAGATATGGGAGGATGATGGGAAACTTGCTCAGCAACAAAGCATAGCTGATTACTTTTCGCCCAGGGTATTGGGCCATCTGGGACATCTACCCCTTTTGTGTCAACACCAGGAATGTCCCAGTAGCACCTGAATTGTTAAGTAGGTTTTAATCACAAGAGTAATATCATTATATAATATCAAATACAACCACCCAAAACTACCAAAATTCATTAAGAAATAAAACATGGTTAAAGTAGATAAATTTGTTATAAGATAAATTGACTACATAGAGATCATACATCATCACTCGGTTTCAAATTCTCATGGTATGGAGATGGTCTACACAAGCCCATAGGGAAAATAAATGAGTTATCAAGGAAAGAATGTCAAGTTACTCAACAAAATTAGAGCTTATGTCACTGACAAACAGAATATTACAAATATGCCAGCATTCTGGTGACTATTTCAGCCCACCAGGGACAGGTGACTGTACAAATCATTGTGTCCCTTTAATGGGGTGGGGAGCTTGTGCTAATAAAAGATCAACCCGCAACTGAGTTGTATCAGCATGAACATACAGAGATCCAAAAGACTCATCCACCCTCCCATTAATTTTGTATGTCAAATCACCAAACAAAACTGTGAACAAACCAAAATGAACAAACCAAACCTCTTTGATTTTGTTTGAAATCAAAGAGGTTCTAAAACAGCAGAATCTGCTGTTTTGGACCACCACCAGGTTGTGGCTTCATCAACGCCAAGTCCCAGGACAGGCAGCCGTATCAATACCAAGCCTGAGGGCAAGAAATTTCCAGAGTCCTTCATGTAACCTTGTACTATTGCTTTGAAGAGTCACAAAAATGGGATAGAACATCTGCCACTTGCCTGCCACACAGGCAAGTGATGGTATAATAGCACTTAAAAATTACATATATGAATAATGACAGCCAAAAACCATGTAGATAGACAGGACTGCATAAGTGAAGGAAATGAAAAGAAGGGTCAGAAACCAGGGCTGAACTGGCCACATTAGAGTCAAGAAAATGATGCAGCCCCATAGTTCTCCAACTTGGATAAAACAGAGAAGAACCAGAAACGGAGGTACAAATTGACTGCAGTCCACTGGTTCCAGTCCAGGTAAAAGGTGCCCAATGCCAAATAATCTTGAACAAGAAATGAAGCTACATACAGTAGCCAGTTCCTTACTGAGGAAAAAAAAAGCTGACACTTCAAACACCTGAAAGTGAAAAGAAGTCCTTACACCCAGCAGAAGTAGTTAGGGATGCAAAAACAGTTGCCCAGCATGTTCAAAAACACTCGGGAAGACCAGTAATAAAATGAATGAGGCACCATGGGAGCCGGTCGGCCGAGCGGACAGCATGCTGGACTTGTGATCCTGTGGTCCCGGGTTCGATCCCAGGCGCCGGCGAGAAACAATGGGCAGAGTTTCATTCACCCTATGCCCCTGTTACCTAGCAGTAAAATAGGTACCTGGGTGTTAATCAGCTGTCACAGGCTGCTTCCTAGGGGTGGAGGCCTGGTCGAGGACCGGGCCGCAGGGACACTAAAAGCCCCGAAATCATCTCAAGATAACCTCTCAAGATAACCATATGCTTCCTAGAGACTCTGGCAATGAGTATGGTCTATGGCACTACATTGACTTAACTACCACCTGTAGCAAAGTGAGTCAGGTCCTAAAGAGTTAATTGTGCACAAAAAACAAAGTCTGATCTCTATTTTGTTTTCTTGTGCACAATTAACTGAAATGCAAATTGGTGAAAGATTGGTGAAAGTGATGTGTTGCACATCACTATTTTACTGACTTACACTTTCCAGCACTTTTAAAAAAGCAAATTGGTGATATCCACATATATAGTTGCATGTAAAAATGTGTGCTTTGCAGTTACCAGACTTAGATGCATAAATATTAATATATAGGTATAAATAAATATAGGTGGTGCATTTAGTGATATGCACATATCTGTACATACACATGTTTCACATTATAATACGTACATGAAATCTTAAAACCAACAGTGACATTTCATTATATCATTTAATCACTGACACAAGACACACCCCACTCATCATTACCAAGCTACCACAGCCAATCACACTGTCCCAGCTACTATAAGCAGCCAATTGAGAAACAGTAAAATTAAAAAGTTTACAATATCCAAAGAAAAATTATTTATTTTATTAATGAACTTGGGGTAAAAGTACATATTACTATCACATAGGTGGAGGATTAAATATAAAATAGTATTTCTAAACAAAGAGAAATCCTTGCCTGAAGACTTCCCCCAAAATGGGATTGTAGGGTTTTCTTGCTACCTCACTCTTGCGTCCCGCATGGAAGGCTGAAACGTACCACTTTACCACCTGTATCATGCGGTCCTGAGGGGTTGTCATATCCGCAATGCTGAAATAAATAAATGTATGTACAAGAAATGTTTAAATGGCAGTAACAAATCATTTTAAGTGAAGAGAACTCATATTTTAATGCTATACGTTAAGCTCAATACCCCCTTTTTATCTTAAAAATACTTCAAGGAGGGAGAGCAAGCCTGTGTACTGTAGTTCTTAATTTAATAATAAGTTAATATTTGAAGATTAATATAAATGCATTAGCAACTAGCTTAACATGGTAGACTTTAGGAATAAAGTACAGTTCATTGGTGATCAGCTACAAACTGACAACACTTTGGCGTCCTGATGACACTCTCAGCATCATAAAAACAATACGCGCAGAGTGAGTGAGGACGCTCTCGGCGTCATGCATTCATTTTTGCTTAATCTTCTTATTAAGAATAAACATTGCGAGTGAAAGAGTTTAACATTGGGTTGTGTGCTCACCGACAATGCCCATTCTACCTTCAAGTACGATGTGGGTGGCCGGCCAGACATGCGAAAGTGTTATTAAGGGATGAAAGAAGGACCGAGAGGTTGATCAGTCAAATGGTCCTAATAAGCCGAAGTTCAGGGATCAAGTTAGGTTATGAAGAAAATATAATGCTGTAGAAAAAAGTTGGAGAGGCTAAATGTAATAATAAACAATTCTGTAAGAACTATATTTACAGCATACAAGATACAGATTGGTAACTGGAACAAGATGAATTTCACACTATAATGTCGTAACACATAGCCGTGCCACATCTGTTACTGCAAGACAAAAACCATTTGGAAATTTCTTTTATCCTGAACATACTGGTTTTCTCCTTAATGTAAGTGATCTACACTGATATAATCTGCTTGATAAGAACACACATGAAGGTTGCAATTTCAAGAAAAAAAAACTTTCAAATGGCCACACTTTTTCAATATAACAGTGGGGAGTGTTGGCAAAAACTTAAAAAAAGGTAAAAACATTAAAATTTATGAAAATAATAGTTTTTTCTTTTAAAACTTGGCACCTAAAATAGTGGAACAGAATTCTATTACATATTACCCCAAAGTTAGCACCCTGGGATGTTTAGACGTCCCAAACAAACCATCCATCAAGCAAAATAACAATGTAATTCTCTTCAGTAACGTGTACAATGATAGCTAATTAATGCAGACACTCAGCAAGGTTGTGGAATCTCAATATAAAGCTATGTTAAATTACATAAACAATTACAAAGTGATTTTATTTTTTACTATTTTTATGTAAGGCTGAGCACCTTGGGTATTTAATGCTCAATAATACCCTTGGGTATTAAATAGAATTTGAAAACCTAAGAGAGCTTAAGAAATGATAACATAAAGGGTAATAACATACGGTTAAGGGATTGACAAAAAAATTTAAGTACTGTACTGTATATAATAAACAAATAAAGCCTTATGCAGTACATTTTATACTTATACAATATGTATAAGACAATCCTACAGTATATTTGCAATAGTAAAGAAATATCATCACCTGCAGAAGAGATCCGGGTGAGCAAAGAAGTCTGCGTACATCTCCAACAGGGATCTTTTCTCAAGGATGAATGTAGGAAGCACAACTTTAGTCAAGTCCATCCCAATTTTGACCTAAGGATAAACATTAAACATATCTGACACATTGCGTGACATTACATTCACAGACATCACATTCAGCTAACGTTAACTTTCCTACAACAAGAACTTAAACATCAATAATTAATTACAAATGCGAGAGTACACTAGCGTACCAAACAGCTATTTTTCAGTACTAATTGATAATTAATTCATTCATTGTCAGGAAAGAGGCAGCCAATGTATATTTACACATGTTAAGCTTATATTGAGGTCTCCTCAGGATGATGAGACACAAAAACACGGCTGAAGACATGAAGACTAAACCACACACCAGAAGGTGAGGAGACGACGACATTTCAGTCCGTCCTAAACCACTATCAAGTCAATTGTCATTGACTTGATAATGATAATCGATTTGATAATGGTCCAGGATGGACCGAAACATCGTCGTTTCTTCACTTTCTTATGTGTGGTTTGGTTTTCATATCTTCAGCTACGTTATTGTGACTCATAATCTGCACCGACTCTTATATTCCTATATATCACATAAGATATAAATTACAAATCTCTCTTTCATTATCATTAACAAAAATACAACTTCTGTAGGAAATATGCAGCTATTAATCTGCCAGAAGACACTGAAATGCTTCAAGTGCAAAGGAATTAATTAAACAGCTGTGATGTCATCTGACCTGTGAGAGTAAATGGTGTATGATGGAGCCATGGCCTTCCATAGATCCAAGCTCTGGGTCGTCATCCTCCTCATACATCAAGTCATAATCAATGGAGGGTTCTGACGAGTCATTGGACTGCGCCAAAGCACCACTCTCTGTTGATGTGTTAAATAATAAATACTGTAAAGGCAAAACTAATGACATCAATCACACTACCTTGGTATGCAACTCTTATGTACAATAGGACTCTAGGCAATACACAACCCATCTTCCGGTTTAGATAGTACTTTTTGTAACTATGTACACCATCATACATATATTGAAGTAATGGAAAATTAGATAGAATTTGGTTCTATTCAATGTATAGTCTGGAAAAACTCAAACTAGAAACCAAACAAATATTCCTTTAAAATATTTAGAGTCCCTGTGCCTTCTTTTACCAACTTCGAGGTTACCTCCGGAATTGGAGCCCCCTAGGGCAGTTCGTTGCTGCCTTCAACCTCGTTCTGACAGTTCCTGCGACGGTGCTGGAACCAATCGTACTGGCGTTTGCTTTTCCACTGGAGACTTTTGGCGTCGTGGAGAGGGGTGGGGGGACCTGCTGCTTGGGTGACAGCTTCTCCATATCAACCTACCCAGGTTTTGCGCCCTGTAGAGGCCACTCCAGAGTGCAACTCCATGGTCTTCTGAGACTGATAGATGCCTACTATTCCTAAACCTAGTATAGCACACATACTGTATGTACTATACTAGGCCTCGGCGTGTATTAGGCCTAGAATGGTTAGGTTAGGTTTTATTAGCAACATAAATGCAAAACCTTTTCTGGTTTGTCCAAATTCAATAATACCAAATTCTACTTTCTAATTGTCCTTTACATCAATATATGTACGATGGTGCACATTGTTACTATGAGTAATATGTAAACAAGAGGATGCTTGAATAACAATAACCGATAATTTTGAGTAATCTAGTTCTGAGTAATGAATGGCCTTTTGGAATGCATCCTGTTTATAAATAGGAAATTGCCTGTACTGTGCCTGAAGGCCTTTGGTTCCATACATTTTTATATACAGTATAGTTTTTAAGTGTGCCTCTCCCTTTCATCCCATGACACACTGTCAAAATGTACTGTGTTATATTATATATTGTATTGTTAAAAGATTTCCAAATGATCCTGACCTGATGCCTTGCGGATGGTTGAAGAATGCGCAAGTATGGACGGGGACTGTGTAGCACCAATACTGGGTGTGCCACCACTTGAAGGATCTGGATATTCAGAAAATTCATAGAATTAAACTAAAGTTCTGCACAGTCCTGAAATTTATTTCCTGCAAGACTATCAATTCATTAACCCTTCAGTTGTGCAAATGGTGCTGAAGGCATGGCAGCTTGGGCAGGTAGCAGAAAACTAAAGCAAGACTCAACCTCCAGAAACTTATATATGGGCATTCACTGTATCCATTCATACATATTCCAATGTTGATAGGTTTAGTACAAACTTTCGTGGTGAATACGAATAAAGGATCGACTCACTCAAAACTCGGTGCTCAACTTTACCCACGAAATAAGCATCAATGGTACTCACCATTTCCTCAATGACTTTATGAGAACCAAAAACAACCCCTTTATCACAGAATTTTATACTAAATCTACTAACACTGGAAAGTGTATGAATGGATACAGTGAATGTTCAGATAGATATGAGACTAGTATGATATATAAGACTAGTGTGATAAACTTGTATATAAGCAGAGCCCTTACACAGTGTTCTGACTGACTTAACACACAAAGAATTGGACAGAAGCCCTCAAGTACATACTGTATTACTAAACAATGGACACATGCTTAGAGAATTTAACACCCAAATCAGAAGATATTTAGAAAAATTCTACAACAGAGAAAAACTGCAACAGCAAGTAACCCCTTCCATAAAACTAGTACAAATTAACTATGACTTCACAATACATAACAGAAGAAGGAATAACAATATAATTTCAAATGGAGTGAAACCAACAGCCCCAGACCAAAAATTGGACTTCATTATCTACTACTGTACCAAACAAAAAGGACTGCTGGTTTAATATTCAAGAACAGCTCCAATAAACAATACAACCCTCTCCAGACAGCAACCGTGGTATACTGCACCAATTTACATGCCCCAATGAAGGATGTCACCTTCGCTCTACCTATACTGGCATGACTACCACAAAGCTGTCGAGAAGACTGACTTGCCATCTACAAGCTGGTGTCCCTAGAAACCATATACAAAGTGAACATAACCCTACACTAACTAGGAACATGCTAGTAGATGATACAAAAATCCTGGAATCTACCACTGCCCAAAGGAGATTGCAAATCCTGAAAGTAATACTTACAGGAGAAAAAAGACCCACCTTAAATATAAAGAACAACAACTTTGCTTCCTTGCCAACACTTAGACCCAGACCTCACAAAACATCACCAGATAATAATGTGTCTACCGAGGTCTCGACACTCACTGCCTTACCAAATATGTGATTGGCCCTACCCTATGTTTGATTACCCCTTCACTTCACCCCACATTCCTTTGACTCTCATATGTGTATTTAACTAAGAAGTGTACATCTTGTATTCATTCTTTACCTAAAGATGCTCCAGAGAAACGTTGAAGCAGTCATGTTTAACTAAATGTGTTTAAAGGAATGCCTGCTGCCCAAGTGTACATATATATATATCAGCCCTTCCTCCAAAAATGGGGAGGTAAATGTAACAGCCCCATAAGTGCAATTATGTACTATGTATGGAAGTTAGGAATTGTACTTATTTACACTTAGTATTAAATCATACTGTCAAATATATTGTGAATATTTGAGTTTACCTGAAAAGCTGAATAGAAAACCACAACCTAACCTAACCTTCTTAGTTTTTGAAGATAAGCATTTTATTGCTTCTTAATTACAATTACTACTTAACCTATAGCTATATTGATATTACAGTTTTATAAAACAAAACTAAAATATTTCAATAAATTGTAAAGTAACTCAGGATATTTTCAAATTTTGCATAAAATCTCTATCGTTTAATAAAACTGAAAAAGAAATTCCTCATATTTAAAACTTGTGTATAGCAAACTGAACTTTAAAACTTCATCCTAAAATTCTGAGTGTCTTCACAGAAAATGAGGAGAATTAAATGGGGAGGTAAATGTAACAGCCCCTCAAGTGCAATTATGTACTATGTATGATAATCAGGAAATGTACTTATTACACTTAGTATTAAAATGTACTGTCAATTCGGAGGATGGGTTGCAGCATATATATACTGTATATATTTAGTATATACACTTTAGGCTTATATTTAGGTCCTCCAAGGTTAAATACCTTCCCCAGGATGCAACACCACAACAGTTGACTAATTCCTGGGTGCATATTTAATATTAATGCTTTGCCCGAAACGCTTTGCGTAATAGTGGCTTTAGGCATTGTATGTACTAGCTCTACCTTTAAGTCAACCAATCCTTGTAAAAATTTATTGTATGTATGTACCTTACCTAAATAAAATTGTATTGTATTGTATTGTATTAGGTGAAAAAAGCCATTAGGTGAAAGAAAATTTGCCCAACCATTTTTGTTCCACCCGGGATTCCCTACTGTGAGTCGAGAATGAACTGAACTGTAATAGCAAGACTTGTATATACAAGCTTCATCGAGGATACTCCTATCTTTTTTCAACATTGTTAAAAAAAACTTATGCCCATCACTGCCACTTCTTACTGGTTAGCACTTTGTGAATCCTTATTTCTCAGTTTTAGTTTAGATTTGTTCTTTTCCCTCTTGGTCAGTTAAAATAAGGTGATCTTCTTCTTCTTCTTCTTCACTCACTCACTGCATCTTGCCAGACTTCCTTTTTTCAGTCAACATCAAGCTTACATTCGCGCTAATGATCTTCAGAAGTGTATGCATTATTTTCAGTCATTTTTTCTATCGGGTTTATGTCAAAGAAATGAACTCGAGGCTACTGAAAATACAATTCCCATCTTAATTCCTGATCTTTGTCTGATTTTCTCATCTTAAATGCATCTTTATATCATCTTACTACCAGCTAGAATATTTGGATGGACAATGCCTCAGGTTCATAGTTTCAGCTTTATCTCCCTCTTGGTAGGTCCAATTTAGAGTATGCAATTCAATTTTGGTCACAGTACTATAGCATGTACAGTACAGTGATCAAAATAATCCCAGGACCTAGAAGAAGTCCTTTATGATGAGATCGAGAAAGTTTAATTTGCAAAGTTGAAGAGGTGAAGCATAAGAAGTGAGTGAACTATAATACAGTATGAAATGGTATAACAAAGGGGGTATATACTCAGAAAAGGTCTGGATAAATATTGGTTTGGGAATAGGATTGCTGATTTATTTTGGCAACAAATTACCATGTAACAACAGATGTGAGGGCACCGGAATTTTTTCAAACGAAGGTTGGTCAAACCTGGAACTATGAATACGAGCTGCTTCACATAGACTAACAGGCCTTCTGCAGTTTCCTTTATCATGTTCTTATCTAACCATCAGGTTTTACCCATAAATTTTGGCCAAACTCCCAAACAGGGCAAGCCGAACCAAGGAGGACACTGAATCTGTAGCCCAAGAGAACCAGAAGGCCTAACTACACACAGAAATCGCACTAACGTGATGCATCAAATGAACAAATCCACAAGGTCTGTGACGAGGATTCGAACTTGCGTCCGGGAGCATCCCAGACACTGCCTTAATCGACTGAGCTATGACAGGGTAAAAAGAGTTGAAACCGAAGTTCTACTGAACTTACTGGATCCCGCAGCCTCTCCGAGGCACAAACCAGGGAATCCTCATCACGGCCCTTGTGGATTTGTTCACCAGAAGGCCTATCTCTAGAGGAAGGTATATTCTTAATCTGTCTAATATTCTTCAGCATAAGAGAGGGTTCGTAGGCCCCAAGTCTGAGTCGTTGGAGCACATATTCGTCCTCACAACTATTCTTCCAATTTTAGTGTGTGGTGTACTAAGCTTTCATTTAAGGTATCTACTGGGAACGGATATGAAACAATATATATGTATATGTATGTATGTATATTTATGTGTGTATATATATAAATATATACACAAATATATGTGTGTGTGTGTGTGTGTGTGTGTGTGTGTGTGTGTGTGTGTGTGTGTGTGTGTGTGTGTGTGTGTGTGTGTGTGTGTATATATATATATATATATATATATATATATATATATATATATATATATATATACACACACACACACACACACACACACACACACATACACACACACACACACACAGTATATATATTTGATAGTGTCAGACCACGAAGGAAGAATTGAAACAGGAATTTCCTTAAGTACGTGTACTTTTGTATTTAATAATACATTTTCTGAAGGAATACATCTTCAGTCCTTCTGAAGATGTATTATTAAATACGAAAACACTTAAGGAAATTCCTGTTTCAATTCTTCCTTCGTGGTCTGACACTCACATTTTTCATCACATGTTAAATTTCGTGATTTACACCCATATATATATTATAGTATATATACACTGTATGTTATATAGTAAACAAAAATTATATACAAAGTATATCTAAAGTTAAAAAGCACATTTTTAACCCCTTTTTTTATTATAGCATAGATTTGTTAATTTAGTCATTGATACCTCGGTAATTGTTCTTATTTTTTTTGCTAAACATTTATCATTACAATTTATACTTGTTATAGTAAAGTGAGTAGTTTCATATCTAACAACTCCATACATAGCACTTTGAAAGATACCAAAGAAGAACACTTTGATGTCAGTGATAGCAACAAAATAAACATACAGTATGTACTGCACTCACTTTCATTTAAATCAATGAATAAACTTTATCACAAATATTGTTATAAATACAACATAATATTAAACCAAAATATTCAAACTACAGTACAGTACAGTACCTGTTATGCTGAAATGGTTTATATGATTGTTAATGAAAGCCATGAGAGATTGACCTGATGATGTGGAAGAGGCAGGGAGGTTGAGGAGAGGCACCTGAGAGGCAGGGTCATTGGAGGCACTGCTGGGGGCCACATCACTGGTGCCACTGCCGCCTGCGATGGTCTCCACTCCAACTTCAAACAAGCGCGGACCACTGCAATCAAACAATAAATAGAACATAATAAAAAATGTTAAAAAACTTTTCTTGCATGGCTACGCTCTGCTGATCAAATTTCGACTTTCCAGGGAAGGGATTCAACCGTGTTTCCAACTAAAACTGCTATGTCAGTACTACTGTATAATCTTAATACATGCCCCCATAAAACTTTTTTCATCAATAACTTGATGTTTAAAAAGGCATGCTGTAAACTCGGTACATTATCACAAAAGCAATGGTGAAACAATTTGAGAAATCCATGAAGTAAAACACAAAGGTGCATAGTATCAAGGGAAAATGGGTACAGTAGTAAGTTTTTTTTTTTAAAAAGTCCAACAAGTCCTCATTTTTAAAGACCTTCCTCTGAAGCATAAAATAGTTTTTATCAGTCTATAAAAATATGCACCAGATTTTTAAAATATTCTTTTTATACTGTACTTCAAAAAATATTTGTAATAACCACAATTTCTGCCAATACTGAAAAAAATTATACTACAGTAATTCACAGAGAAACATTTATTTACTTAAGATTCTTTTAGTTGTCAATTAAATACACCTTTGTTACATGGTCACACAATAGTGAGTAAATGCACTTTATAAGGAAAAAACAGTTATAAAATCATGCAAATTGATGTTACAGAATTACACTGATGTTTAAGCATCAAACCAGAAGAAACAAATGGTAAATTATTAACGTGATCACTACAGTACTATTATTGATTCTAAGAGGAAGCCTATTAATGCTCGGCTATAATGTTAGCACACTTGCTCTTGCCTATTCTAAGCTATATGAAAACATTTGACTTTCTTCTTACCTAATATTTGTGGCTTGTTTAATGATAAACAATAACTTGTGATGGAAAAGGCATTACTGGTTACTATACAAGAAATAACAACATGAGTTACATATGCCAAAAAAATTAAACCCATTCTTTTTATTAAACTAGAAATTTTTTTCTTTTCTAATGTATGGGCCATGTGTTTAAATGTCAACATTATCTTACCTTACCTTACTTATCACCCTCACAAAGTCATCAATGCCAAAAGTTGTACTGAACTAATGAATCTGTTCAATTATTTCACTCACACGTTCAATTATTTAAATATAGAGAATTATCAAAACAAACAGGATAGAAATGGTAGGAGGCATATCTTAAGCGTGAACATCAGTAAAACACACATTGTATAAATAGCTGGAAATGCTAATTAATAAACCATGTGGTTTGTTAGCTTCATTATTCCATTGTTGATAACTAAAGTATTTTTATACAACAATTAGTTATGGCAATCTACAATACATCCAAGAACACTTCTTAAAACTGTATAAAACAATTATAAAAACTATCAGATATACGAATAAATTTTGTAGATACAGAATTAAAAGATTATACAAACTTGTAATAGCTTTCATAGCACAAAATCCAAGAATGATAACCAAAACACGACACAAAAGTCACTGCAAACGAAGCAGGAAAATCAGGCTCGTAACCATGGTCAAGATCTTGAATAATGAACGGGCCAGACTTATAAGGATATGGAAGGTCAATATGGAAGGTGTCAAGTAGGAAAGAAATGAAAGGAAGAGCAAGAAGGCTAGGGTTGGATACAGAGGTTGTCGAGTGTGCAGAAATGTGGGATAAGGGAAGGATGCAGATAAACACAGTGGTCTTACCACACTTTTAGACGGCGAATATAATCCATAACGGAGGAGGCACTGGGCCTCCTCTGTTTACTTCCAAAATAGGACCACATGATTCTCTCTAGCATCTGCAGACAGTAGAGGACGTATGTAGTGCCAGTAGCTGGCCTACTTGAGTGTGTCTGGCACTTGGCACGCCGGGACTGGTCAAGGAACCTTACCATGTATGACCATTACTGTTACCACAGAGAAGATCACCGCTAACCTCGGCCGAGGCATTGTTCGTCACCTACCACACTCTTTCCTCAAAACTGAATGGGTATTTCACTGTTTTACACTGTTCTCATCATTGTACCACTATTATCAAATATTACTGGTTCAAATTATTTGCACAAGTTTACACAACGATGTGACAAATGTTCCGACACTCATTTATTAGCGAACTTTAATCCGAATAATTTTGTGAAGTTGCCACATTGAGCTGTAGTCACACTGAATATTCACACACTATCATTCTCTTACGGAGCATTGTTGTTACTCAAAAACTTGTCCTTTATAAATAACAAAAACTAGCGAGTGTGTTAAATGTTCTGCTGAAGGTTGGTGACTACTGCCCGTGATGTCTACGCTCACCACGATTTCGTTCTGTGGAGGAAATACTGTGGATGAGTCGCAGCATTTGGACCATATAATCCTCTCAGTATGTCATCTTTGTCTTCCTGTCTAACAAGTGTTACATAACTCACTATTATCAAAGGCTTTGCATATTCAAACTAAGGGGGTAATTGATAGATGATTTACTTTCATTACTAATCTATTCCACTTAGAGAATTGTAAAATCTCTCCATATGTACGTAAAATCAAGCTTTTTACCAACTTCAATATAAGAACACACACCATTCATCTAAATTATCTGGTAGTGGCAATTTAAGATTTTGAAAGCACAAAGTTACAATTTGTTGCAGGTGTTTACTACCTGCTCTCAGCTTGTGAAAATGAGTGATTATTCATATTCCAGTACTGGACTGCATATTAATTTCTCATAATGAGTCATACTTCATACTACAAAGTTGTGATAATGCCTCTAGTACAAAACTGCATTAAAATACTAGAACAAAATTACACATGAACATTTTATTACATAATTGTACTCTACTGTACTTAAGGAAAACTGTTGCTTCCATTGAGATTTTAGTTCCCTCAAGTTTTAATATGAACTAAAATGGACTAAACAAAAAATCCAATGAGAGTCTACCTCCCCACATTCTAGCTACTAACCTCACCTAACCAACCTGATTTCCTACTTTGCAATCACCATGAAAACAACAGAAGAATGTTTAGAGAACTATATCCAAAAATGTGTCTTGAGAAGATATATATTGTACTGAATAATGATCTTTCACACTTACAAGGCCATGACAAAGATTCGATTGATTTATAAAAATCCCCCTGGCACTACAACAAGATCACTGCCACCACGTAACACATATTATTTATCTAACTTCGGGTTTGATTTATAATCTCGGCTCAACTCGTCAACAAGAAGTGTCAAACTGAAGAGGATGCGCACCATTTTCCCGCAACACAACAGGGGTCTATACCTGCAGGATGGAACACTTATTCTATGTTCTGGAAAGAAAGAGATTCACAAGCCACACTCAATTGCCCTTTGAGTTGTCAGAGTATGAAGTGCCTGATAAACTATCAGGCACAGCATTGAACCAGCTATGTGGCAGGGATGTGGCACAGCACTGAACCAGCTATGTGGCAGGGATGTGGCACAGCACTACATCAGCTATGTGGCAGGGATGTGGCACAGCACTGAACCAGCTATGTGGCAGGGATGTGGCACAGCACTGCATCAGCTATGTGGCACAGCACTGCATCAGCTATGTGGCAGGGATGTGGCACAGCACTGAACCAGCTATGTGGCAGGGATGTGGCACAGCACTACACCAGCTATGTGGCAGGGATGTGGCACAGCATTGAACCAGCTATATGGCAGGGATGTGGCACAGCAATGAACCAGCAATATGGCAGGGATGTGGCACAGCACCGAACCAGCTATGTCGCAGAGATGTGGCATAGTATTGAATCAGCAATATGGTAGGGATGTGGCACAGCATTGAACCAGATATGTGGCAGAGATGACCACAGCACTGAGTTAGTCATGAAGCAGGGAAGTGTATAACACCTCCAACTGTAGCAACATCACATTAATAAGACCCACTCTAACCAGTACTTTACAAATACCTATCTATTGTTTATTATCTATTAAATATGAGAACAAATAGTGTTTGTTTAAACAAATTAAAATACAGAAAAAAATAAGCTAACCTCATCAATGAGTCAACAAAGTTCATGTACTGAACATGAAAAAAAAGCTTTTGCTAAGAATTTCATATTATACACAGCTGGAAAATATTATCCAGACTAATAGAGGGTGTAAGGGACCTTTAACAAGCAGCCGGCTTCATGCCCCATCGAGGTCACTATAGATGGTGACCCCTCAGGTAAATTCAGGTATATGAAGTCTGTTGCAGGTACTAATCGAGTCTGGTAAAGTCTATGGATTATGAAACAAATATTTGAATGTCTCCATGATTAGCAAGAAATCTGGCAGAGACTTTTGAGGTGACGATGCTGAATTGCCTCTACACTTGAAGACTTACGAACACCCTCTCTGAAGACTACGAGAATGGACATTATGCCATTCTGAAACTTCCCAGAATGTATTAACCATGCACATTCCAGCCATCGCCCTCCTCACATCAGTACAGGTGTTGAGGGTGAGGTGGGTGGACGGGTGTGTCAACACACGTGGAGTGAGGCGAAACAAGTGTGAGAGCACAGGTGTCTGGGGTCCTTACTGCCAAGTATCATGGTCCAACACCATTGACAGCAGTTCTTGTATAATGTCACCCACTGCCTCGTATTATGCACATTAAAGCAGTCTGAGATAAGCCTACTAATGCCTAATTCTTCATTAGTAAATTGTAACTAATAATATTCAATGAACTATTTTTGTCTTGTATATAGGAGTCTTATAATCTTTCATTCTCACGAACTTCACTTATGTACCCTATATCAATTCAGTAATATCCTGGCAAACATTTAAGACACAGTTGTGGGGAGCTTATTTCTTCCTCTGTACCCACCAGACTATATTACCGGATGCCCCTGGAGGCACCTGGCAGGGTCTCCTATCTGGCTGCTGGAGATTGGCAAGACTAAGAGCTACCACAACCTGACTTGGAGCGCCTATACGGGTCATCAGACCCACCTGCTGCAGGAGGAATTTCACCCCCTTGAAGCCACAGGCTGCTTAATATCTGAGCGTCTGGAACCCAGTAGGCTC